CTCCCGAGTTAACTATTTACTGTTCCTACGGGCCGGATCAGAGAAGGTGGGGCTCGCCTCCCAGACGCAGGGAGTGCGTCTAATCAGTCCTGGTATTTCATACCAGGAACAAGCCTGCCCCACTGGCATCTTGGCACTTTAACTTCTATGCCTGAGTTGACTCATCTGTCTAGTAGAGCTAGTAAATTCTGTCATCACTGGCCTGTCATTTGGATTAAATAATGAATGGTGTATTTGTCAAGTGGGCACTCAGTAACTGTTCAACTTCCTTTCCACTTTTTTGGATTATCGCTTGTTTTGGCCTCCTGGCTCCTCTTGCCTCACTCGGTGGTAAAAAAAAAAAAAAAAGCTGCATTTACTCCCCCCAGCAGCGATGACACTGTAAGCAGCGATGACATATGTAAGGAGGATCAGAGAAGGGGTGCCTGGGTGGCTCAGTCAGTTGAGTGTCCAACTTCGGTTCAGGTCATGATGTCACAGTTCGTGGGTTCGAGCCCCGCGTCGGGCTCTGTGCTGACAGCTCAGAGCCTGGAGCCTGCTTCAGATTCTGTGTCTCCCTCTCTCTCTGCCCCTCCCCTGCTTACGCTTTCTCTCTCAAAAATAAATAAACATTAAAAAAAAAATAAAAGAAGGATCAGAGAAAATTCAGGGGGAGAAGCATAAGCATTATTCACTCTGAACTAGGACTAGTGCCATTTTGAAAAATCAACATATGCTATAATTTCATAAAACTGATAGATTGTTTCAAATTCCCAAAGGTTCTAGGGCTATTGATTTACTGACACATCAACTTACACAGACTTTTAAAAGGAAATACAGAATTCAAATGACACATTTCTGCAAGGAGCTCAAGAATTTCAAAAGGTTTATACCTACATATATTCTTTTTACAGAATAGGAAAGCGTGCACGGGTATCAGCCTCATCTTATGCACAGTAAGGAGAAGAAACAAAACTAGTAAAACACCCAAATAAAATCCAGGACTTAACAGGTCTTTTCCAATCTAAAATCTAACACGTCAGAACTGCACGCTATATCCAATCTATTGAAAAGTAAACATATATGCCCAATTAGGATATGTAAATTGAACAAGTCATATTAGAAATATTCAAATACATTTTGGTTCCCTTTTCTCCAAACATGTCTGAATTTGGGGTGATGCCCAAAGCCCCATTGGAAGCCTGCTGCCTCGCCAAAGCGAGAGGCATCTGAAACCTTCACATCGTTCGTGTGATGTCCAGGGAGGCCCCCCCCCCCACCATGAACCTCGATGGAGTCGCAGCCCAACGCCAAACCTTTTCTGACTTGCTTCACACACTAAGGATTCAACTAAAATACGGATCCTAAGAACCTTCTCCCTCCCTCTCTGCCCCCAAGAATTCGCAGACGCGCCCTGCTTCTCTGTGATGCCGCTCCAACAAAACTGGACGAAAGGATAAAGACTGACTCCACTTGTGCACGGAGACAACGGGACGACCTCGGACTGCCCATAAGGCCACAACCCAACCTACACATGGTCAGAATTCCTTCCTGTTGTGAGCGCTTGTTGTTCCTTACTGGACTGAACTTTTCTAAAAACGGTCACAACACTTCCCCCGTCCCTGTGAGTTTGCTGTGCCTACCGTCAGAAGTGGAGTCTACACTTACACCCTTGTGTCTCGACTGGCCCACGGGACTTTCTGGCCAGTGGGATACTAGCATTCCTGGCAATGCAACCCGAGGTGTGAAAAGTGTCTGTGCTTCAGAGCTTGGCCTCTCTTGCTCCTGGGAACTCTTCCACACCACGTGCACAAGCCGGGACTAGCCTCCCAGCGGGTGGGACTGTGCAGAAATGGAAGCTGCAGCAGGTGCAACCAGCCCTGCGGCCTTGAGGAAAGGGGGCGGGGGGTGAGGCCATCCCGGGCCACCTAGCCCCCCATCAGGTCAAACCAACTCAGAACCCCCAGCTGACCCACAGAACTGTGAACAAATACGGTGGTGGTGATTTTAACCTGCTACGATTTAAGGTGGTTTGTCACAAGGCAAGAGTGAACCAATACACTCAACTTTGTGTGTCATTTCTCGAACTCTGCCTTTACTGGCAAACTTGAAGTTGTCTACAGAATTGATCATAAGCAGAGATGTAGTGTGACCCACAGAAGGAAGCGTCTTCGGCAGTTCCTTTAGGAATTGAACATAGTGCTTCTCAAACTTCTCGACACTTGCAGGACAACCTCTGGGCATCTAACCCACACGGAATCGCTCACAGAGGGTACTAGCTTTATGCATACGGAACGGTCCCTGCGGCACTACTCGTAAAAACAAGGAAGTAGAAAACACCTATCTAGCAATCATTAGGGGAAAGGATAACAAATTACAGTGTAAAATACAACAGAAGAAAAAATGGTTACATGTTTCTCTAACAAGCTATGCTACTAACCATCTTACTACTGCTTCCACTCGCCCAGCACGGATCTCAGCAGTTAGGAGTCTGAGATTTCATCCTCAATCATTACGTACTCCTGGAAACTGCCATCCACACACGGAGCTTTCCCCCAGAGTCACAAGGCATGCAATAAATGATGGATTTGGGCAGCCAGAGTCAAAGGAGGGATATCTAGATTAATCCTTTATTATTAATTATATATGTATTATATTATATTATATATAATTTAATAATAATTAAATATATATATTATAATATATGTTATATATAATTTATATATATATCATGTATATTATATATAATTTAATAATATATTAGTATATTATATATATATTAAAAATGCTCACATAGGAGTGCCTGATCTCGACTCAGGTCATGACCTCACGGTTCATGAATTCGAGCCCCACGTCGGGCTATGCACTGACAGTGAGGAGCCTGCTTGGAATTCTCTCTCTCCCTCTCTCTCTGCTCCTCCCCTGCTTGTGCTCTTTCTTTCTTTCTCTCTGTCTTTCAAAATAAATAAATAAACTCAAAAAAAAAAAAAAAAGCTCATACAGGTATAAAAAAATCTCAACTAATCTCAACTTTTTTTCAGGGCATGATAGATTTTTAAAAATTTATTGTTGGAATATTATTCATGATAGTCAAAAAGGGGAAACAATCCAAATGTCCATCAAGTGCTAAATGGATAAACAAAATGTGGTACATCCACAAGGGGGTATTATTTGGCCATAAAAAGGAGTGAAGAATTCATATATGCTACAGCATGGATGAACCTTGAAAACATGCTAAGTAAAAGAAGCCACACAAAAGGTCACATATTCTATGATTCCATTTACATGAAATGCCCAGAACAGACAACCCTCTAGAGACAGAATGTAGATGAGTGGTTCTCAGGTGCTCGAGGAGGGGAAAGGGAAGGGACTGGTACAGAGGTTCTTTGTGGGGTGATGAAAATATTCTAAACTTATTATAGTAAGAGCTGTACCACACTGTGAATATACACAAAAAAACCCACTGAATTGTACAATTTAAATTGGTGAATTGCATAGTATGTGAATTATAGCCCTATAAAGCGGTTTTGGGCGGGGCCGCGGGGTGCAAATAAATAAATAAATAAATGTCTCATTCAGTGATCCATGATGTGGAGTGCAGGGTGGTATTCATTATAACATAAGCATTTACATTTAAATGCTGGGGAAAATCTTACTCTCATTGTTTTTGCTAATTATAGAAAAGGATAGTTTTTACTTATTGAAAATTCACTAAATCTCTACAATCCATACATTTCCAATTTATTTGGATTTGCCCTCACATCTAATAGAGCAAAATTAAAACAAAACAGTAACAACCCAAAGAGTCCCAGGCTGATGCCCCATGGTGTTCTGGCTAACGATAATAGGCTTTGAAAACGTGGGCTCTTTGGGACAGACATGCAGAACTTGAAATGACTATTTGGGTCCCCCAAAGAGAGAGAGAGAGGAAGAGAGAAGAGAGAAGAGAGAGAGAGAGAGAGAGAGAGAGAGAGAGAGAGAGAGAGAGACTGTGTGTGTGTGTGTGTGTGCATGTGTGTGTGTGTGTGTGTGTGTCTCCGTGTGTCTAGGTTGGAGAGCTTGGGAAAATGTCTAAGAATTTAAGGTATACTGTGCCAGTCCACGGGGAGGCACGGAGGTGAGGTGTCCTGGGCCAGACCCCTGATCTCGCAAAGCTGCTTCTCTCTCCTCAGTCTTAAGTATTCTGTGTATGTGTCTTGTCTCCCACCCAGACTATAGACTGCTAGAGGGGGCCACCATGGCCAGTTTTATTTTCTCTCTCTCTCTTAGAATCTAGCCAAGTTCAATCTAACCAGCAGGTGATTTAAAAAAAAAAAGCAAATTCAGGGGCGCCTGGGTGGCTCAGTTGGTTAGGCATCCGATTTCAGCTCAGGTCATGATCTCATGGTCTGTGGGTTCGAGCCTCATGTCGGACTCTGTGCTGACAGCTCGGAGCCTGGAGCCTGGAGCCTGCTTTGGATTCTGTGTCTCCCTCTCTCTCAAAAATAAACAAACATTAAAAAAAAAAAATCTTTAAATAAAAAAAAATAAATAAAGCAAATTCATAAAATTATAGTTTAGCGGGTAACAGGCATGTCACAAAAGAATTCTCTTCACAAAAAGATTCACCAGACACGTGCTCCTAACATAAAAGATCGGTTTGGCTTAGGAAAAAACCTCCCAACCCTCAACTTTTCAAGGAATCTGTGTGCAGTGTATACTATGTAAAATGTGGTAGGCTTTAATGAACAGTCCTTGCTGTCAAGTGCTTATTTTCCCTGTAGAGCAAAGCAAAACAAAGAACTCAAAAGCAGGTGCATTGTGGAGACTCCCCTAGCCCCGTAAGGAATCCAGATGTAGGTAAGAATTGTAGTCGGAGAAGTCACCTTCTAGAAACCTAAGCCATCGAGGGGACAGCTGAGACGAAAGCCTTCTCACGCCCAGGCATTCAGCAGCTGCCTGGACGCTCACGAGGAGAGAGACAGAGCATCTAGTCAGAGGGTCAGAGCCCAAGCGAACAGCGGAAGGAGCTGGGCCCTCACCTCGGGAATCAGCCGCCGCCTCTTCACGCTGGGGACAGAGTCAGGCTGGCCATCGCAGCCCGGGGGCTTTCGCTTGCTGGAATCCTGGAGGGCAGGGAAGACGCTGTCCAGAGGGTGCTTCTCGGAAGACCTGGAACTCACTGAGCAGTCCAGGGCAGCATCTTCGGCCTCTGTCTCCACTTTCACTGTGTTATTTTTTAGAACTGTGGCAGAGAAGAAATAGGGCTCAGTGGGAAAGACCACTGGGCCGCTGGGAGATTAGCAGGGTTCCCTGAGCGGCAGGGTGTTTGCGGGGTGCCCTCTGACACTAGCACTCACGTAAGAAAGTCTAGTCACAGTAAAACTGCGCCTTCCAACCTAGCAGTTTTTATCTTACCACATTAGTGCTATACAATAAAATCACGATCCGAGAACATTTTGTTCAAAACTGGTTCTAAGGTCCTTTTTGGGGGGAAAGAGCCGAGACGGAGAGAAAGAAACAAATACTATCTTTTAAATGATACTTTAAAAAAAGTAATTCTGGAAAGATACATACGATACTTAGAGCAGGTGTACGGGCAGAGGGGGATAAGCAGGCGTGGGAGGAGACTTTCCACGGATTTTTCATTATGTATCTTTTTATATTTTGAACCATTTGAGTGTATGACCTAATAAAAAATATTAAAATTAAAAATATGTTTTAAAAAGAAGCTTTTTTTTTTACCTTCTTCTACATCTTCACTGAATTCAGCTGAGTTCATCTTCTATTCCACTAAATGAAAAGACAAAGACAAAGCCTTGATTTATTTCTTAATTTTCCGTCCCCATGAGAAATTCCCTTACCCTCCCAACCTGGCTCTGGGTAATGGAGGGTTAAGCCGAAACTGTTCCTCAACATCATGGAATGCATCCTCTTAGTGTTGTCCGCAGCTGCTCAGAAACAGCCAGGCCTTCTGAACACCCTCTGCGAGCACGTCCCCCAAACTGCATGTCGGCAGAATGCGTCTTAAAGCACGAGTTTTGCTTTAAGGGGCAGTGTTGTTTGAGAAAAGCAGGTCTTAAAAAAGACCTCAGTTCGGATGATCTCCTATTGGTCCCTGCTTTATCAATTCCAGCCACAGACTGCAAAGACCAAGACGCAGGCCATGGCTCCTCTGGGCACGAGTGGGTCTTAGACTCCAGGTGGTGCAGAAAGACCCGTGCTGCCCATGGTGCAGTCATCAGTCACACGGCCACCGAGGACTGGAAATGTGGCTAGTCGAAATGAAGACGTCCATAAGGGTAAAGTACACACTGGATTTCAAAGACTTAGCACAGCAAAAAAACAGTGTAAAATATCTAATAATTTTTTATGTCGATTACACGGCGAAGTGATGTCAGCTATCTTAAAATTAATTTCACCTTTTCTTTTAATGTAGCTACTCGAAAATTTTAAATCACACGTGTGGCCTGCATTCTATTCTTGTTGGATGGTGTTAGTCTAGCCCTTCCTTCCAAAGCAACAAGAAGAGGCAGTGTGGGTTTCTGAAGTTCTTGAGCTCCACATAATCTGCTCCAAACCTTTCTTTTTCCTGATGAGGGAGCAAGGCAGGAGGGGGCGGGGGGGGGGCACAGAAGAGCGAGGGGGACTGTATGGGCTGCCAGGTTTGGTGCAGAGCCCCCGACTCCCACTGCCCCGGCCAGAATGGAATGGACACCATGATTAAAAGCACCATTAATCTTTGAGATTCCCCGAACTACCCTAAATTACATAACAACATCCGCAAATAGCATAAGGTGTGAATGAGGGAGCAGCGTTACAAAAGAATACACATGAGAGCCTTTACTGTTGACACCGAGGAGTTGTGGTTCCCACAATTGATTAGGCTGCCTACAAACACGGAGTTCCCATTTTGGTTAAACATCAGAGGAGAGGAGAACTAAGAAGTATCTTTTCAGAAATTTCTAGAAGGAAGAGGGATGCCATCTACAAAGTCCGGTACACTATTCACCAAATAGCCACAGAATGGTGTGTGGTCCTCTGTTTTAGATGGGGGAAAGGGGGAGGGGAGGAGGTGTGCAAGAGACAGAGTCTAGGTCATCTATGCACACAGTAACAACTTCGAAATCCACTAATAATAGCAACACACATACAGTGCCTACGATGTGATGTGCTATCCTCAGAGCGCCACGAAAACTTTGACTTTCTTTTATGAAAGAAGAGGGATTCTTTCCATCACTATTTTATGAATTTTCAGAGACACGAGTAAGAAAATATGAGATTTATTTGAAACTGAATTTACACTGAAAATACTTCCCATTCACCGATCTACTATCTGAAAAACATAACACACAAGATGATATTGAGGGAAAATAAGAAGTCAAATTCAAGGGTCAGAGAGCTGTTTTACCAGAGGTGAATTTTGGCCAATGCAATTTCCATTCTATTGCAAGGAAAAAAACCCCACATCTGACAACATCACCCCACTGGCAGGGGGTGGGGAGTGGCAAGGGGGGGCACCGGCAGGTAGGTGAACATCAGTAGTCTGAGGTGGGGAAGGTGGCCAATGCCAGGGGGAAGTTCAAGCCTCCCGACCCCCAGCCCAGGCAGGGGGCTTCATAACGAAGTGTACTCCAGGCCTCATGCAACTGCCTTGGAAACCCTGCCACACGGTCACAGAACGCAGTCCCTGAAATCAAGAGCACAGGGGAGAAGCAGCAGAATAGATGGGCAGAACTGAGCGAAGGTTGTCGGAGAGGGCACAGTGTACAAAACAAATTAGTCTCTGGGGAGGAGAGGTGGGAAAGGGAGGAGAAGGTGGATGGCTTATTTGGGGAAAGAAAAACCACAAAGGCTCGGCTAAGGAGAAAGCATTAAAGGACAAGCAAATCCTAGAAGAAAACAGGTGTCGGAGAAGAAACACAGCAGACAGAAAGAACCACAGTGCACAGCAAGGGCAGCATGGTTATCTAGTATTTTATCTGCCCAACTGTGTTCTTCCAGGGAGCAGCAGGGAGCCGAGGAGGAGGCACTGCGGCAGTCTGGGGCCGAGCGCACCGGCCCAGCAGGCCCGCGGCGCAGTGCCGGGCGCATACTCTGCAGGGACTGGGGGGCTCGGTGGACAGCAAGGGTATTTTCTGAATCGCACCATGGGACACTACATACAGCAGGCGACGCAGCACCTGAATTCTGAGCAGCCCAAGTCAAAAAATGGTGCAGTCAGAGCACACACCTGAGCTCTGTGGGTGGGCAGAAAGCCAGAGGGAGAGCTGGGAAGGCTCCCAGTGGCCGGCTTCCCCGGCATTCAAGACACCGGAGGGCATCTGCTTTTGTGTGCGTTTCTACACCAGTGACAGATGCTAGGCTAGCACAGAAGTAACCCAGGCCACAGCACGGTGGGCCCCTTCCCTCCCAGCCAGCAAAGCAGCCCCGCTCCTTGGGAAGCTGGGAGATTTCCTGTTGGCGAGGCCTGGAGAACCCACAACTGCATCTGATTTCATGGCAGGGGCAGAAGTGAGGGTCCCCAGTAACACCCGCGGCCCACAAACCACGGGCCAGGTACACCAGCCACTTTCACCTCACCTGGAGCTATTTTATTCCCAATTTTACCAATAAAGAAAGCGATACGGGGCACCTGGGTGGCTCAGTTGGTTAAGCATCTGACTTCGGCTCAGGTCACGATCTTACAGTTCATGAGTTCGAGCCCCACATCGGGCTTTGCGCTGACAGCTCAGACCCTGGAGCCTGCTTCGGACTCTGTCTCTCAATCTCTCTCTCTCTCTCTGTCCCTCCTCCGCTCACATTCTCTCTCTCTCCTCTCTCTCAAAAATAAACATTAAAAAAAATTTAAAAAAGAAAAAGAAACCGAGGGCATTTACCTTAAATATAAACAATTCATTTGTCAACTGTACCCCAATGAAGATAGAAAAGAATATTTTTATAATATCATTTTATGGAAACAAAATATTTGAATATCGAAAGGGAGGAAGAAGGGAACAGAGGGCAGGTAACTTGCCCAGTGTCACACAGCCGCTAAGGAGTAGAAGTAGGATTCAAACCTAGTCTATGTGTATCTCTGGTCAGCCACCCACAGAGGAAATCACAGAAGCCTCCTCCTTCTATTAACGTTCTTCTGAAGAACACAGGGGCCAGTTTCCAGCCTTGGACCCTTCTGTCCCACAGCCACTGGAGCAGCCAAATCTCCTTTCCTCCGCATGTAGCTACTTGGAAAACCAGTCTATTCCATGCCTATAAGACTCTACTCCACAGTACAATAGAGATTCTACAAGACGGATGTGCGGGTCACTTCCTGGCATCCTGGAGCTGACATGATGACCGCACATCAATGGTCAGGGCTGGGTAGAAAGGGGAGGGGCATCACATACCTGCCTCCACACGTTGCTACCTCCATTTCCTGGTCATCTGCCCAGATGATGGTCACAAGGTTGCTCATCCTGGGTGGACACGAGCGGCTGGATGCCGAGCATGCCACAGAAATTCCAATCCTTACATGACTCTAGGTCATGTAGGACTTGCCAACTACCACAGCCCCTGCCCACCTGGGCTTGCTAGGACTACCGTCTCCTCTGCCTGCCGGACCTTCTCATTTTAACGTCCTCTCCTTCTCAAAATCCTCCTAGTCCTGTCACCACAACTCACAGATTGTGAGACATTCTAACTACGCATCCCCAGGTCCCTGAGAATCAGCTTTTGCCCCAAGAGGTGACTGTTGCATGTCCCTCAGAATCGCCTGGCCAAGCCCAAAGGAATGTTTAAACAAATGAAGGGGACAAGTGTCAACGAGACCTGTGTAGCCTGATGCCGCCTCTCGCTAAAATACCACAGGTTCTAACACATCAATGACCTATTAGAGGGAAACTCTCAAACAGGACCAATTTCCAGTGGTAAATGCTTTTTTTTTTTTTTTTTTTTTAACCAAATAGCCTAGGAAGCCTCAGGCTAAGTGGCCGTCATTGGTACGGAAAGGTTTAAATGTTGCAGAGCCCATAAGAGTGTATGTAATTTTATTAAAATGCCTAATAGTCTCTATCGTCCCGCTCAGATTGAGATGGACAATGTTCAATTTTCCATGCAGGGCACATGGGTGGGGGAAGATTACAGTGTCATCGGAAAAGCCTTCCGTTTACAAAAAGCACAAAAGGGAAGGTAATCCCGAACGTTCAAAAATAACACGATGCTTTAGCCACTCAAATATCAAATTACAAAGGCTAAGTTGCTTAAATTGGCTACATAAATGCAATAACTGGTGGGGCTACCTCGCCTCATGCTGCAATACGGCTGAATCTGATGCCTGAGTATCAGCCAGCTCCTGCCTCTGGCGGGAAGGAAGTCTGTGAAGACAGACAAGGGGGAGGCAGAGAAGTGAGAACCATTCACTTGTGCTTAGAAAAAAATCCATTCTAAGAGATGCCACAAAGAAATGGAAACGCTGGAAAGATTTACAAATTATAGGTCACTGTCTATTTTTGGAGTTCATTTTTAAGAATGGAAGATGCTTAAAGTCTTTTTTTTCCTTTTTCTTTTTTTACTAGATAATACATGCATATGAAATAAAGTTCAAAAAATGTAAAAGAGGGGCTAGCTCAGGGATAGAGCATTTGACCGCAAAAAAGTATAAAGGGGTATTTGGTCTAAAAGTCCACTGTCCTCCAGTCACTGGGTTACTCTCAGAAGCAAGAATGTCCATTCTCTTGTGCATCCTTCCAGAGATGTTCTGGGTCGGTGGTTCTCAAGGTGTGATCCCTATGCAGAGGTGTGATCCCTATGCAGAGGTGTGATCCCTATGCAAGGTGCGCCACAGCTGGCTCATTCTGGCTCGCACGCAGCGTGTCTCTCCCCAACTCGACTTTAGAGGAGGCGAGTTGGTAGCTAGAAATGGACCGCAGTGGGTGTATTTACACCACAGAAATGGACATTTTTAAAAACAGCTTTTTCTTCTTTCTTGAGAGCCATTTTACCAGTATTGAACATTCAAACCCTTTCAAGGGGTCCACGAGATGAAAACTATGTTCATAACACTGAGATGTTATTGCCCCTTTTCTCTTACCGGCGTGCAGGAGAGTATTCCAGAAGCTACGTGATATGTCATTTTGCAAAAGACTGAATACAGAGGCAGACAGGAAGATGCAGTTGCCTTCTATTAAGTCAGATGTTAAAGAGAGTTGCAAGAATGTAAACAACACAAGGGCAGCCTGGCTGGCTCAGTTGGTAGAGTGTGTGACTCTGGATCTCAGGGTTGGGAGTTCAAGCCCAACACCGGGTGTAGGGATTACTTAAAAATCAAATATTTTCCAAAAAATGGAGGGGAGGGAGGACACCTGGGTGGCTCAGTCGGTTAAGCGTCGACTCTTGATTTCAGCTCAGGTCACGATCTCCTGGGTGTGACATCAATCGCTGAGTTGGGCTCTAAGCTGAGCATGGAGTCTGCTTGGGATTTGTTTCTCTCCCTCTCTCTGCCCTCCCTTGTCATGTGTATGCTCTTCCCCACCCCACCCCCCCAAAAAAAGGAATGTAAACATTCGTTTCACTAAGATTTTCAAAATGCTTATTTATTTTGAGGGGGGAGGGGTAGAAAGGGGGAGAGAGAGAATCCCAAGCAGGCTCCGTGCTCAGCTCGGAGCCCAACTTGGAGATCGATCTCATGACCACGAGATCATGACCTGATCCAGTATCAAGAGTCAAACATTTAACCGACTGAGCCACCCAGGTGCCCCCATTAAACTATTACTGATGTTACCTTGTAATGGATTTACTATGGTTTTTAAATGAGTTAACAAATATTGAAACATTTTTCCATTTGAATTTCTAACACAGTAAATATTGACAGATATAACCTATATAAACAAAGGCTCTTTGGGGTCTTCAGTAATTAAAAAAAAAATTTTTTTTAATGTTTATTTTTGAGAGAGAAAAAGAGACAGAGAGAGACAGAGCATGAGCGGGGGAGGGGCAAAGAGAGAGGGAGACACAGAATCCGAAGGAGGCTCCAGGCTCCAAGCTGTCAGCACAGAGCCCGACGCGGGGCTTGAACTCACGAATCGTGAAATCATGACCTGAGCCAAAGTCTGACGCTTAACCAACTGAGCCACCCAGGCGCTCCAAGGGGTCTTCCGTATTTTTTAAGCATATGAACACATGCAAAAACTGGAAGAGTTAAGATCCTGATCCTCGTTTTTCTCACTTAATAAATATATCATGTAAGTTTCTCTATCACTTCTTTTTTAGCTTGAGTTCCCCCCAGAAGCAGATTCGGAGACAAGGATCTGGAGTGAGTAGTTTCTCTGGGAGGAGAGGGTCAGGAGCAAGGTAATGAGCTTCCTTCTGTGGGGTAGGAGCTCCCTGGCTACAGGCAGTGCTGAGGGCACTAAGGGAGGGGTCCAACAGGGCCGACCCCCGCACTGAGCAAGCTCCTGGAAAGCAGAAACTGCTGTGCATTCTCTTCCGACTCCTCACCTCACTGCCCAGGGCTTTGCATACTCGGTGAGAATCAATAGCAGCAAGGGCCTACTCTGTAGAAGGAGCTTCACAGTAAACTAAGGTCACCTAACAATCCTGTGAGGGAGAAACTCCTGTCAGTCTCGTTTTATGAGTCGGGAAACCGAGGCGGTTTTAGAGACACAACAGACCTCAGAGATGATCTCCTTTTAGAGGTATGGGATCCAAGGCCCAGAAAGGTTGGGAATGTGCTCAAGCCTGCCTGATCAGTACTTTGGGGGCTACACTCCCCACGGCGTGATGGGAGCTGCTGGTGTCAGTGGGGCGACTGTCCTCTGCGCAGGGGATGATGGACCACACAGCCTATTTACTGGGACTGATCACAACCAACACAAGTCAAGACGGAGGGCCTGGAGAATGAAGACGGAACTGTGGAGCCTCTGTCAGAGGGGAGGTTGGGTAAACCGCGTCAGATAAAAGTCACAGGAAGGAAAGAGCACTCAGAACCCCAAGGTTAGGAGATACTACATTAGGGTTTCCATAACAACCGTAACTCACATCTAGTAAACACAGGCTGCCTGCCACAGCTGTGCAGGAGACCACCAATGCTTGCAATTTTGTGACCTGGATACAAATAATTTTAGGCTCTGGTACATGCCCACCAGACTTTTCTTCCTTGGGAGAGGGAGAGAAATAACATTAAAGCAAATTCTAGGTGGAAGAAAAGTCTACTTTGAAAAGAACTTTGTCAGTGCTTAAATGGGCAAATCTTGATCTTCCTTATCGCTTTCAGCTTCTAAGGACCTGTAACCAAATCCCTGTGTCACTTACAGAGCCTCACACACTTGAAAGTTATGCTATGCAGTCGCCTCTATGAGCAGAGGCCAGAGAGCAGAGAGCGGAGAACCAGAGCTCTGTTACCTTACAGGGGATCTTAGGCTAAGCACGGGCAGGAACGGAGCATCGGAATGAGGGTGGAAATCCCGGTGCAGAAGCCCTCCACAGCCCTTAGCTATTATTATTTACTGATAAATTCCACTAAAACATGCTGACAAAATGGGAGAGACAACAAACTGAAAGTGACCTGCACTGAGATCCCCTTTGATCACTATTGTTATTTCCATCAGACAACGTTAGGAAGTGAACTTCGACACATTTTTCTCAACACATGGATCCAAAACCTCTATTGACAGGAAGAGCCGAGCATTAAAT